TGGCCAGACTTATCCAAAAGAAAAGAGAAATGACCCAAATCAACAAAATCATGAATGAAAGAGGAGAGATCACAACCAACACCAAAGAAATACAAACAATTATAAGAACATATTATGAGCAACTCTATGCCAGCAAATTAGATAACCTGGAAGAAATGGGTGCATTCCTAGAGATGTATCAACTACCAAAATTGAACCGGGAAGAAACAGAAAACCTGAACAGACCTATAACCACTAAGGAAATTGAGGTAGTCATCAAAAATCTCCCAACAAACAAAAGCCCAGGGCCAGATGGCTTCCCAGGGGAATCCTGTCAGACATTTCAAGAAGAATTAATACCTATTCTCCTGAAACTGTTCCAAAAAATAGAAATGGAAGGACAACTTCCAAACTCATTTTATGAGACCACCATTACCTTGATCCCCAAACCAAACAAAGACCCCATCAAAAAGGAGAACTACAGACCAATATCCTTGATGAACATGGATGCAAAAATTCTCACCAAAATACTAGCCAATAGAATCCAACAGTACATTAAAAGGATTATTCACCACGACCAAGTGGGATTTATCCCTGGGCTGCAAGGTTGGTTCAACATCCGCAAATCAATCAACGTGATACAATACATTAACAAAAGAAAGAACAAGAATCATATGATCCGCTCAATAGATGCAGAAAAAGCATTTGACAAAGTACAGCATCCTTTCTTGATCAAAACTCTTCAGAGTATAGGGATAGAGGGTACATACCTCAATATCATAAAAGCCATCTATGAAAAACCTACAGCGAATATCAATCTCAATGGGGAAAAGCTGAGAGCTTTTCCCCTAAGGTCAGGAATGCGGCAGGGATGTCCACTATCACCACTGCTATTCAACATAGTATTAGAAGTCCTAGCCACAGCAATCAGACAACAAAAAGAAATCAAAGGCATCCAAATCGGCAAAGAGGAAGTCAAACTCTCACTCTTTACAGATGATATGATACTGTATGTGGAAAACCCAAAAGACTCCACCCCAAAACTGCTAGAACTCATACAGGAATTCAGGAAAGTAGCAGGATATAAAATCAATGCACAGAAATCAGTGGCATTCCTATACACCAACAACAAGACAGAAGAGAGACAAATCAAGGAGTCGATCCCATTTAAAATTGCACCCCAAACCGTAAGATACCTAGGAATAAATTTAACCAAAGAGGCAAAGGATCTGTACTCAGAAAACCATAAAATACTCATGAAAGAAATGGAAAAACGTTCCATGCTCATGGATTGGAAGAACAAACATTGTGAAGATGTCAATGCTACCTAGAGCAATCTACACATTCAATGCCATCCCCATCAAAATACCATCCACTTTTTTCAAAGAAATGGAACAAATAATCCTAAAATTTGTATGGAACCAGAAGAGACCGTGAATAGCCAGAGGAATGTTGAAAAAGAAAAGCAAAGCTGGCGGCATCACAATTCCGGACTTCCAGCTCTATGACAAAGCTGTCATCATCAAGACAGTATGGTACTGGCACAGAAACAGACACATAGATCAGTGGAACAGAATCGAGAGCCCAGAAATGGACCCTCAACTCTACGGTCAACTAATCTTCGACAAAGCAGGAAAGAATGTCCAATGGAAAAAAGACAGTCTCTTCAACAAATGGTGCTGGGAAAACTGGACAGCCACATGCAGAAGAATGAAACCGGACCATTTCCTTACACCACACACAAAAATAGACTCCAAATGGTTGAAAGACCTAAACGTGAGACAGGTGTCTATCAAAATCCTAAAGGAGAACACAGGCAGCAACCTCTTCGACCTCAGCCGCAGCAACTTCTTCCTAGAAACATCACCAAAGGCAAGGGAAGCACGGGCAAAAATGAACTTTGGGATTTCATCAAGATAAAAAGGTTTTGCACAGCAAAAGAAACAGTCCACAAAACCAAAAGACAACCGACAGAATGGGAGAAGATATTTGCAAATGACATATCAGATAAAGGGCTAGTATCCAGAATCTATAAAGAACTTATCAAACTCAACACCCAAAGAACAAATAATCCAATCAAGAAATGGGCAGAAGATATGAACAGACATTTTCCAAAGAAGACATTCAAATGGCCAACAGACACGTGAAAAAGTGCTCCACATCGCTCGGCATCAGGGAAATCCAAATCAAAACCTCAATGAGATACCACCTCACACCAGTCAGAATGGTTAAAATTAACAAGTCAGGAAACGACAGATGTTGGCGGGGATGCGGAGAAAGGGGAACCCTCCTACACTGTTGGTGGGAATGCAAGCTCGTGCAACCCCTCTGGAAAACAGTATGGAGGTTCCTCAAACAGTTGAAAATAGAGCTACCCTACGATCCAGCAATTGCACTACTGGGTATTTACCACAAAGATAGAAATGTAGGGATCCGAAGGGGTACGTGCACCCCAATGTTTATAGCAGCGATGTCCACAATAGCCAAACTGTGGAAAGAGCCAAGATGTCCATCGACAGATGAATGGATAAAGAAGAAGTGGTATATATACACAATGGAATATTATGCAGCCATCAAAAGGAATGAGATCTTGCCATTTGCAACAACGTGGATGGCACTGGAGGGTGTTATCCTGAGTGAAATAAGTCAATCAGAGAAAGACATATATATGACCTCACTGATATGAGGAATTCTTAATCTCAGGAAACAACCTGAGGGTTGCTGGAATGGTGGGGGGTGTGAGGGATTGGGTGGCTGGGTGATAGACATTGGGTAGGGTATGTGCTATGGTGAGTGCTGTGAATTGTGCAAGACTGTTGAATCACAGATCTGTACTTCTGAAACAAATAATGCAAGATATGTTAAGAAAAAAGAAGTAGAAGAACATGGCAGGAGGGGAAGAATGAAGGGGAGTAAGTGGGAGGGGGAGAGGAACCATGAGAGACGATGGACTCTGAAAAACAAACAGGGTTCTAGAAGGGAGGAGGGTGGGGGGATGGGTTAGCCTGGTGATGGATATTGAAGAGGGCACATTCTGCGTGGAGCACTGGGTGTTATGCACAAACAATGAATCATGGAACACTACATCAAAAACTAATGATGTAATGTATGGTGATTAACATAATAAAAAAATAAAAAATAAAAAAATAAAAGTAAATGATTGGTGAAACTCTATAGTGAAAAAAAAAGAGGAATGGTTGTAATTTTTTTTTTTTTTTTTTTTTAGAGAGAGATTGCACAAGCACATGTAAGCGGGGTGGGGCAGCGGGAAGGGCAGAGGAAGAGAGAATTTTAAGCAGGGACCACGCTCAGTGTGGAGCCTGATACGAGCTCAATCTCATGACTCTGAGATCATGACTTGAACTGAGATCAAGAGCCCGACGCTCAACCAACTGAGCCCCCCAGGGACCCCTGGTTTGGTATTTTATATCTGATAGTCAGGAGAGCCTCTCTGATAAGGTTACATTTAATTGGAAAAGGGAAGAAGGCAAGAAAGCAGGCTATATGGCTATCTGGGGGTGTTCCAGGTAAGGGAACGTAAGTGCAAAGGTCCTGCTTGCTGTGTTCCAGAGGCTGCAAGACAGCTTGTCTGGCTGGTGCAGCGTCACAGAGGGCCAGTGCAGGGGAAATAGAGATCAGAGAGGTAATGGGGCCAGTCCTTATATGCCTTATAGGATAATTGTGAGAAATTTGACTGTAAGATGAGGAGCCACTGACTTTACTCAGGACCCACCAAAGATTCTCATTGGCATTCCCTGTTCTTATAATAAATGAGGAAACATTTTATCCCTGGCAAGTTTATGGTGAAGGATAAAAAACAGATGAAAAATGTAGACAGGAGTGTGTATGTGCCTACTAGCAAAAATTGCCTAAGCCAAAAAGATACAACATATGTCTTACTCAAGCCATTTCATCACTGAGCAACTTGGGATACAACCCTGAAGCTGGCAAATTCTGCTACAAGAGGTGTGATTTAGGGAAAACAGCAAAGTGCCATTTTTCTCTCTCAAGATTTCTCTACTGCCAAAAATCTTATCCAACCATCCATCCAACCAACCAACCAACCAACTAACCAACCAACCAACCAACCAACCAACCAACCAACCAAACTTTATTGATCTTCTACATGTACAGCAGAGGACTAGATAATATAAATAGCTACAGATGGATAAGATTCTCCTGTTCTGTGTTTTCTTAGATTCTATTTGGTCTCTATTAATTATAGGGTCAAACCAATAGCCACAGTTGTTTACATCTCCCCTATGATCCGGCTTAAGTAGACACATAAAAACCATATTACAAACTCTCCAACCAATCCTCAGGCCATACTCCCAACCACCTCCTTAATCTAACTCACACATCAAGCCAATATTTCCCTTGGGCCAGGTGCCAGACAACCAGAGACAGTTCCTAAGCCCCAAAGCTCACTGGAATTATTCAAACTAGTCAGTCCTCAGCTGTTAACACTGACCTATCATATCTTTACCACAAAAACCCCAATAAAGGCTGTGTCCTATACTTTACCCTCCTGCTTCTCCCTCCTGACCTAACCTGATGCTTCTCCACGTGGATCTGTGTGGCCCCTTCCCTCAGGAGTTGTAAGGAATAAAACATCTTTCAATGGCATTAACCTCTCCTTGTTGTCACTCAATCACCTTTATAAAATTAAGACCCAATTGCAAACCATCTACCCAAAACAATTCCGCTCTCCCTCTTTCTCGGAGTCAAAAATCTCCTTCCCGGGGCACCTGGGTGGCTCAGTCGGTTAAGCATCTGCCTTCCGTTCAGGTCATGATCCCAGGGTCCTGGGATCGAGCCCCAGCTCCCTGATCAGTGGGGAACCTGCTTCTCCCTCTCCCTCTGCTGCTCCCCCTGCTTGTGTGCTCTCTCTGTCAAATAAATAATTAAATAAATGATCTTTAAAAAAAATCTCCTTCCCTTTGTTCCTTACCTCTAATTTTATCTTTGTCATGACTGAGATATGGTTTCTTTGCTCATGCAGGCTAATCCATGTTTTTCAGGCGTTATGAGCCCTGAAAAATGGATGTGGATCGGTTCTTGGTAGAACCATTTCCCTTTCTTGAAGATCACCGCGCCTTGACACCACCCCTTGTAGACTGCAGTCTTCCTCCGGCCCTGCTTCCATTCTGCTCACTCCGGATAGTCCTCGACAAAAAATCTAGAATATCTTCAGGCCACTGTTCGGTCTTAGAGATACATTTCCATTCTATTTAGTGCCTCGGAGAAGTCATCATGGTTAATATCTGCACTTTAATGCTCCCTCCTGAGCTATGGTTCATCTAGCTAAGTCATGCTTTAGTGATAATTAGGGAAGAGGTGACCGACATGAGGATTAGATTCATGGCTTAGTTTGTCTGGGAGATATATATTTTTTTACTGCTAATTTATATGACAAATCTGGTAGGCACTCTTGGCTAGCATAATTTATTTTACCGGGATGAGAGGTTGTGTTTTTCTAATTCTTCAGTTGAGCTTGCTGACCTGTATAAAGTCAGCAAAATTCAATAATATTGTTCAAGCATCCTTGTAGAATCTATGCTAAATACTAGCAATTGAGTTCAAATAGATACAGTTCAGTGTCCTTTGACTATTCATATTGCAAAGCTGACACGAACACGAAACAGTTTAACATAATACCACATAATATGCTCACCTGTTGTAATGATTTATTCACAGTTGCTCAGTTGCTTCCTAGCTAAAGTTTTAGCAACTAGGCACTGAGCGCCCCCCTCCCACCAGACCTGCTGAAATACACTAGAATTGCCTGGTTCTCACTCAATAAGGGTGAGAACATTCAGTGCCAAGTTCCCAAATCTTAGGCTTGGTCCTCCAAATGCTTTTACCCTGGACTTCCCTCCTCAGTGACTGGTAGCTTGGTGTTTTGTTTCGATATTAGGTTTCAACTGGATAGAATGTGTTAAGTAACTTCCTTCTCCACAATGTACTTTAACTGAACCTCTTCTTCAGATATACGGTAAGAGGCCCCTCAGGACATGGAAAGGCCATCTGGTCTTGTGGCATATAGCTGCATGCATCTCTCCATCCCTCAGGAGAGTTGTACCCACAGTCTGAGCCCCTCCGTCTTTCCATAATGCCAGTTGGAGCAGATCTTAACAACTTGATCCTGTGTTTTTATAGGTCAATTAGCATTTATCTGAGTAATTAACAAGCCCAGTTCCCCACTGTGCTAAACCTCTCAAAATCATACAAAACTGGACCTGTAAATCCTTAATCCCACTTCCCCACCCTGGCACGGAGCTTGGTGTCAAGCCATTTTGTGTGGGTTTATCCTTCAGAGTGCAATAGGAAAATCATTCTGGACTTCAAGAAGGAAATGTCAAGACAAGAAACAGAAGGAGGCAAAGAGAGGTCATTGGTGCAACCATTAAAGAAAAACTTCAGGCTGCCAACTTCAGCTCTATAGGGAAATGGGGACTAAAGCCAAAGACAGATTTCAACCCCATGTCAGCTGAAGTATAACATGCAGTCACTCATTTGAGCTACCGCTTGAATTTATTCCTACATATTTGTGACTTTGAAAATGCAGCATCAAGCATGGTGCTATTTCTCTTGGACTTGGGGCAAAAGGATTTGATGTTACTACAGTAACATTTCGGGGAGGGAGGTGGGAAGGAGAGAACAGTATGTTCCCACATTTGGAGACATTCTCTCTCCCTCGTAACTGCTTTTTCTTATTCCTGTATGTAGGGATTTTGTAAATTAGCCATAAAAAAAAAAAAGCCTATTTCTTACTCAGGCATCTACTCACACTTTGAAAAGAGAAAAAGGGTTTTTACTAGTTTGACATTAGCTAACTTATTGTAGTTTATTTATTGGTAGATGACAGTACTTTTATATATGTCTTATCTCCACAGTAGATTGTAAGCTTGGGGAAAGGGAGTCGCTCTATAGTAGTTATAGGACTATGGGAGCAATGCCCATGAGTCCGTATGCAAATGAGAATTGGCATCCCCTCCCTTCCCCTAGGAGGGGATGAGCACTCATTCTCAAGGTGCTACAATTGCTCCACTGATTTTGGAACTTTGCCAGGGGCAGTCTTCTAGATCTTTCCATGAATTGCCTTTACTTCAGGTCTGGTTCACAAGTCACCCCAAAATCAGTTTGGATACTTTACAATCATCACACTTCATGAGTATTTTTTAAAGAATTATTGAGCTATCCTTTACATATAATAAAATTCACCCATTTTAAGTGTACATTTCAGTGATTTTTAGTAAAGTTACAGAACTGTGCAAAAGTCACCACAATCCAATTTTAGGACATCTCCATCACCCCATGTCCACCCTTAGCCCTGGCAACCCCTAATTTACTTTCTGTCTCTATAGATTTACCCTTTCTGAATATTTCTTATAAATGGAAGCCTACAGTGTATGATCTTTTGTGACTGGCTTATTTCACTGAGCTAATGTGGTTTTGTTTGTTTGTTTGTTTTTAGAGAGTGGGGAGAGGGGCAGAGGGAGAGGGAGGGAATCTTAAGCCGGATGCAGGGCTTGATCTCACGACCCTGAGATCATGACCTGAGACAAAATCAAGACTTGGATGCTGAACCGACTGACCCACCCAGGTGCCCCTAGCATGTTTTTAAGGTTCATCCATGTTGTGGCATGTATCAGTAGTTCATTCTTTTTTAAGGCAGAATAATTTTTCACTGTATGGCTATACCACACCTGTTTATCCATTCATCCGTGATGGATATTTGGGTAGTTTCCAGTTTTTAGCTGCTATGAATGAAGCCGTCTGAACATTCACATGTAAGTCTTTGTGTGGACTTCATTCCTTTTTTATCAGAAAATATTTCTCAACTTCATATTGCCTCTACTCTCAATAGCTTTGCACCATTGAAAATATTAAAAAAACTGTACCACAGGATCCAAAGGTGATGCCCAAAGAAAAGACCTTTTGAAAATTCTTTCTACAGATAATACAATCAGACTAAGAATGGACCACGAGTAACTGTTCTGAAGATCATATTCATTTGATATACAAACACAGGTGTATTGGTTATAAAATAGTTAATCTATTTTATAATCTATGTTTATGGCTTAATTATACCACTCTTGTCAGTTGACAACAGTTTAGCACAGTACTTTACAGGTAGTAATAAATATTAATAAATATTTGCTGATTGATTTAAAAACGCCCTCAGTAGTTCCCCTTGGAAAGTAAAATATCGAAAGCTTTTATTTTTAACAGTGTTTTTTCCATTTTGTGTAAACAACAAAAACCCTTTGAGAGAACAAGACAAGCTATCCAAAGGGCCCCAGGTCACAATTATCTATCAGGCAGCCATGTTGATCTTCCTTCAGCTCAAGGGGCAAGTGCAATTGCTCTATAGGCTTGGAGAAGCAGGAAGCATTTTTGTTGGGCCAGTGGGAGCATTTGGAGCCAATGCCTTGTGTCTCCATGGGAAATAGTCACAGGAGGCAAGCTTTCTCTTGGCAAGGGTCTCCCCTGCCCCTTGCTGGCACATTTTCTTGGAAGGTTGACTGGCCTGGATCCAACATTGGCTAACTTCCTCTCACTGGCCCTCTTGCACACTGTTCCAGGCCTGTGTGGTCAGATTTGGGCTGTTAACTCAACAGCTTCCAACCACAAGGAAACTAGAACCACTTCGTGGTCCTGCTTGCTGACATTTCAGCTGTCTTATTGGCTCTGGGCAGCCACTAAGGCATATGTGCCTGTGGTCTATGTGCTCTGGGGTGGCATTTAACGAAAGCCCATCTTTAATTGGACAAATGAAGTGTCCCCCTCTGGGTTTTCCCGGTGCCAAGAAAATAGTGCGTTAGAAATGCAGTCCGAGTGTCTCCCCCACAGCACGTGTTCTATGTACTTCTCAGGGAGCACAGCCAAGGGCAAGACCATGACGGTGTCTCTCAGTCAGGTTCTATCACCTCAGCAGTCAGCTCTTTTCCACTTTCTTTCTTTTTTTACAGATTTTCTTTCTTTCTTTCTTTTTCTTTTTCTTTCTTTCTTTCTTTCTTTCTTTCTTTCTTTCTTTCTTTCTTTCTTTCTTTCTTTCTTTCTTTCTTTCTTTCTTTTTTCCTTTTCTTTCTTTCTTTCTTTCTTTCTTTCTTTCTTTCTTTCTTTCTTTCTTTCTTTCTTTCTTCCTTTCTTCCTTTCTTCCTTTCTTCCTTTCTTCCTTTCTTCCTTTCTTTCTTTCCTTCTTCCATTTATGTATTTGACCGAGAGAGAGACAGCGAGAGAGGGAACACAAGCAGGGGGAGTGGGAGAGGGAGAAGCAGGCTTCCCACCGAGCAGGGAGCCCGATGCGGGGCTCCATCACAGGAGCCCGGGATCAGGACCTGAGCAGAAGGCAGATGTTTAATGACTGAACCACCCAGGTACCCCTCTTTTCCACTTTCATGTGGTCATAAGTTGTTCCTGTTTTAATTTTCAAAGCATCTTCATATACCTAGGAACTCAGCCCAGGTTTTAGAACTTAACATAAAATGTATTTAAGTAATTGTAATTCTTTTCCACCACAAAATATTAAATTTCATTTTAGGAAATATCAATTAAAAATTCAATACACTCAACATTTTGTTTCATTACTTGCTTATCTCTCGTTAAAAAAATAAAAAGAAACTGTATCTTATCAACTTTATTCTTATAATGTTGTAGTTGTCTCTACTTTTCCTTTTTTTGAATTTTTGACTTACCTACCAGAGGGCACATCTGTTGGCCAAGTGCCTTTCCCTTCTGGGAGGAGTGTTCACCTTCCTCCCAATAATGCTCTGCCCCACTCTTGCAGCCATGTGATCCAAGTAGAGCTTTCCTTGTCTGACTCTGACCCAGGGATGGGCAATGACCCAATTTGGCCAATCGGAGCCCTTTCCTGAAACTTTTCCAACGGAACTTAAGGGGAAAGAGGATTCATTGCTCTTTGATCAACATATTCTCGTATTTGCATAGGTAACTCCCAGCTGAGTATTGTCACTTGCAATCAAAACCCTAACTTACATACATACTCTTCCTACAATCTTGACTGGTCTTTCTGGTCCTAGAACTTTATTACTGGCTTTTTAATTGGCAAATTAAAACAAAACAAAACGCATGCCACAATACTTTTGCTTTGTCCTATTTCCCTTTTATAACCTAAGGATTTTTTTTAATGGCTCTAAGGTTGACAAGAGGGAAGAGATGAAGATAGGTGCTTAGAAACAGCCTCACTATGCAATACGGCAGACAACTGAGTGTTCAACTAGAAAAAGATTCCAAACAACCTCTGGGAAAAGTATAGTGGGAGTAAAGCTATCTGCAATTATTTGAAAAGCTGTTATGTGAAGAAAGAAGTAGAGTTGTCTGTCATTTTGCAGGGGAATTAATTCCCATGGTTGGAATTAGCAGAGACCGATTTCTGTTCTTTATGAAGAGAAAATGATTTCTAATAACCAAAATGTACCCCAAACAAACAAGCCTCCCTTAAAAAGTGAGATTCCCAGACACTTAGAGGTTATCATTTAAGGACTCCTGGGTGAGGGGCATTACCTCAGACTCTCCTTAATTTTTCAGAATCTGTGTTGTTGAAATGTTGATGGAATAGTGGGAAAGAGAAAGAGGTTGGGAACTTGGGAGAACATCTCATCTGCCTGCGATGAGAATCAGGCTCCATCTGAGATAGGAACAGATCCTTACCCTGCATCCTGCAATGCCCGGGTGACCGGATGTCAACTTCCCTAACTTCATTCATTAACATTATTTAAGTGGTGGCTGGAGGATCTTGTCTCTCTGGATCTTCGTTTTCTCATATAGGGAAAATGGGGAGCTTGGACTAGCTTAGAAGTCTCCAGATTTTCCTGCTAGAGATCACAGGGGGAGGACCAAGAGGAAATCCCAAAGGATGGAGAGTTAAGGAAATGCAACCTCCAGTCTTGTTAAGGCAGTAGGTTCTTGAACCTGAGAGGAGGCCAGACCCCACAATCAAAGGCACAGAGGTTAGAGATGAAGCTGCAGGGAGACGCGGCAACACCAAAAAGTACTTAGGCTGCTCTCCCCGAACAGTGGGGGAGGCCCTGCTTATATAAAGTCCTAGCTCTGTTCCCGCTCTGGTCCAATTTGCTAATGAGGAAAAGAAAAGAATGCTTCATCCTGGTTGGTTGGAAGAGCCTCTTCCTGATTGGTTGATATTGCCAACTCAGGCAGCTCTTTGGTGCTCTTTAGAGCCGGGGTCTTCTGCTTTAAGTCCGGCTGGTAGAGGGGAACGCAACCTGGTCTTGCTCTGTTAAGAGAAGCGGTTTAACAATAGCAGCCCTCAGAAAGCACCCCAGGTACGCAATCTTTTTCTCTTGGGGTTTGTTCCCACAGACCCTCACTGTCTCAGTATTTCACGTGCTTTCTAGCTCTCTCTAGCCTTTGGGATGGCCATACAGCTGGAGAAACACATGGAGGGGATACCTGCAGCACTGGTAACATGATTTGCGGGGCCCTGTGCAAAATGAAGATGTGGGGCTCCTTGTTCAAAATAACAAGAACTTCAAGACAGCAAAGACAGAGCATTAAACCAAGTGCGGGGTCCTTCTAGGTGTGGGACCCTATGTGACTGTGTAGGTCCTACACCCATGAAACCAGCCCCGAATATATAACACCCTGTATCAAATGGACACATATAAAACAATAGATCTGAGGCTTTTTGTGTAGTTAATTTCAAAACTCTCCTTTGGCTGTACTAGAGGATACTTCAATCAAAAAATCAACTTGAAGCTTCACTGATCATCTATATACTAAAAAAACTTTGTAATTCTCTAAGTAAACAATAGAAGAAACAAATAAATGCCCAACAAATTTCTCTGAATTCCCAAAATTGGAATGATTGTGGGTTTGGTTTATTTTGACAATCTGCTTCCAAAGAGGCCTGCCGATTAAGGGGATTTGCCTGCATTGATTAAACACATTTTTATCTCCATTTGTCTTTATTCAGAATCAAATGCATCCATTTATCCTCTTCTGGGATCGGTGTCGATGAATCATTTTTCTTTTCTTCTTCAGTCAGCAATCACTTATCACACCTTAAGTACTTAAATTGCCCCACACTGTCCTAAGTATTTTAAGTACTGGGAACCAGGCCACAGCTAAGGATGGCTGGTGGGGTGGGATGAAGAGTCATCTAAAGAAAGGGAATATCATGAGCCAAGACATGAAGGTCAAAATCTTAAACTGTTCATTCAGTGACTTTTGCAAGCTGTTGGCTGTGG